GAGGTCAAGTCATCTCTATTCATCGAAAGAAGAATGCGAGAAAACAGAGGCCACAAAATCTTAGTAATAGATACAACTTATTTAAGATTGTCAGAACATGGAAATATATGAATGCGACAGTCTCAGCGGACATAATCAATTAAGAATTATCAACAGAAAAATAAATCAAGGCTAAAATAAGAGGTAACTCAAAGAGAAATACGATTGCAGATAGACATCGTAGCGTATGAAATAAAATTTATCCTCCATCAAAAGCGACCTGAGAGTAACTACTAATTTAGCCTAGTTGATAGGATTTTGAGGCAATTATTGCTCATAAGGCTATTTAACAGTATGAAAAAAGGATAATGGCCGCATAGTTAAGTGACAAATATGAGATAAAACTTCAATGAATATTATGAAAACTCATTGATGACTAAGACACCAATAAATGATAAGCCAAAGATGAAGTAAATTAGAAGACTAAAATTTATTGAGGGACGATTGTGCGTTTAACTACCATTAATTTGTAGGGATTTGAGATCTACAGTATCGAATATTGGCAGCGAGAATGGATTGACTTATTATTAATAAGATCATAAAATTCTACTTTTTTATTGAATATATACCTACTGTATCATAATTTAGAAATAACAGTGACTATAGTGACAATATTAAGGGCTTGATAAAGTGAAGATAAATTTATCGTATGGGGTATGAGAAAAGATGAAATGATGATTTAAAAGCTTAAAATACTTCTCTTCGACGAGGTATTCAGAAAGTATATCTAAATCCTATAGTAGATTTGCATAAAGCAATTAATAAGGACAAAATAGATTAAGCTCTAGGTACAGACTCATGCGAAAAAACAGTAAAGCATAGGATGACCTACATGGCTAGGATCCATCGTTAGCGGTCCATCTTCCCAACGTTCCAGCCAGACAACTGCCACCCTACCTCCGGTAGAATCCGGAGTAAGTTCGATATTTGAATTTGTCGCGATCAATGGATTTATGGGAGGAGTCGAAGATAAAGTCGTTGATATTGGTGGTGGAGGTATTTGAGGTGGAAATGATGATGCAGCTGTCGTTGAAATCGGCTGCGAAGTTGTCGATAAGGAACCGAGGGGAGCCTGTCGATTAGCCACTTGGGGCATTGATGCCGTTGTTACCACAACATTTGGTCCTGCCGAGAAACCCAGGATACCAGCAGAGGTGGTCGTGAGGGAGGGATTCAAGCGGCGCCCTGTAACTCGGTTCAATGAGCCTAGTTAACAAAATAAAGGGGCACAGGTGGGTTGATATTACCACAAGTCAAGTTGAGGCAGCTACCTGGACTATGGTTAAATATGACAAGACACAATTTTCGTACGCTGATACGAATTGACAGACATTCCACGACTCTCCAGCTTAAGTAAATCACTCTACGAGTGTTTAGGAGAAACAAATGTTACTTATTCCTGATTAAACTAGCGAGTAGCTGAGGTCGCCTCAGTAACTCATGTGGGAGTAGAAGATTAATTTATATACCCCGAAAAGATGAGAAGCGTATGTTCGCTTTGTAAGTGCCACAAGTGAAATGAGCCTTATATTAAGAAGTCAGAATAACCTTGAAAGAGAAAAAGTGATACCGGTGCCTATCGAGATTGGTAGTGTCGCTATCAAACCTCTAAACATCAATATGGTAGCCAGACATTTTTGTCAAATGCGCATTCCGCTGAACCCTCAAATCTGCTTAGAGATAAATTAGGTAATGGCATTCATCTCAGGACATCAAACATTGGAGAACTAATATTCCGATAAAAAAACTTGTGATCACAAACTTTCAGAAGATATACCCTGAGAGCCCTAAATAAAATTAGGAAGAGCTCTGTCTGAAAATTTGCGTCACATAGGATAGGTCCCTATATCAAGGGATATAGGGATATCCCCTATGTATCAAGAATTGCTTCCGAAATCAAGTTACATGTTCTTAGCATAGCCTACATCCTCGTACACCTAAAAAGTATCAAAAATGGATTAGTTAAACTGGTATGGAAGAACTTTTCAGAGTTTAATAGTAGATATACTGGCATACCTTTAAGTTCACTTGAGAATGTTTTTCGTGAAGAATGATTTTTAGCGCTGACGATTACCGTCACGTGACAGACGAAAGCTCAGCACTGAGTCATCTGGGTGGTATGACGGTGAGCCGAGGTCTTCTTCGCACAATTTAACAGACAAAAGTCCAAGACAAACCTCCTTCAATATCCGATGAGGCCAATCTACGAATCCTATCCATCAGCCTTCTTAAACGAAATGAAAGATGTGCCCGTATCAATCCAATAAGGGATTTTTACGAAACCCAGCCTCTCTTCAAATAATAGAGATGCTTGATGGATAATATTTTTTCGCATTTCTTAAGCCAATTGGGATTCGATCAAGCCAATATTCTAGATGGGGCCAGCACATCATTTGGTATCTTTCTCGTTACAAATGAGCAGATTTTGAAACCAGTCAGAAATGGGAGTTTGGAAAAGAAATTTATGTTTCGTATTTAAGTAGAGTTTCGAGACTACCAGTGAATCAGTAATATGAGATGTATTCGCCCTATTTCATTAAAGGTGATGTAGTAGAATTTTCCCATAAGGATATGAGTAGATGGAAATACGACTTAAAGGACAAGTTCAGCGTTGCTTGAAGGTGTGCTTACTTCTGGAACATCAGTAAGATTTGTTTTTGCTTCATGATAAAGCGTTCTGGAGGCTATTAAATGTTGCTACACGACGTACACGGGAGATGCACACTAAATCTGTGGCATGATGAAATCAAGGTCAACTTATCTCTAAAGATTATAAGATATTTCTAATCTCGTTTGATCAAAATGGCATTT